AAATATTGTTTATGATAATGTTTAAAAGCCATTCAAAAGTTAATTAATATTACTAGTAAATTTTAATTTATTTTGAAAAATACTGATAAAACTATCATGAGCACTATAAACAATTTGAAAAACTTTATGCTTGTTAAATATTTAAAAGTATCAATAGTTTCATAAATAAAATAATAAGCCTTAAAAATAATTAATATTCTATACGTCTATATTTGCCACAATTATGTTTGTAAAATATCTCAAAAACTCATTTATTTATAACTTATATTAACATACAGCTTAAAATTGAGCTATCTAAAATATAGAAAATAAAAATAAGTTTTATTAAGGTTATAAAATAAACATTGCTGCTTTTTGAATCCAGAATTATATTTTTAAATTATTATATAAATATATATTCCCAATAAATAATTAAAATACAACTTATAAAGTAGATTATCTAGATAAATTATAACTTACTCGCAGTACTGTTTCAAGTCGTCTCCCTTGGACTCCGGGAAACTCCTACCGGAGTTGCCAATAGTCAACAGCCTGGCCATCGCACCGTCTATACGACGGGCCTCATTCACGTCACAATCGGCTGCATATGAGACACCGATTACCGCACAAACTACTAGTACCGACACAATTAGCCGGGTATTTGTTAAACCCAATTTTAGGCACATTTTCACTTTAAGGGTACAAATAATTTTAAAAATATATCTCAAAAAACTTTTTAATAGTTTTTTAGAAACTATTTTACGTTAAGATGTGTGTTGAGACACCTTAGCAAATAAAATGCTAATTTTAAATAATGTGAATTTTTAGGTAGATGTGGTTATATTTTTATATATACACATTGAGTGAATAATTTATGAGCCACGTTACGTCACCTAATGATATACATTGTCCAGATAATATTTGATGTGTATATATATATATTTTTATCACATAGACAATTTCAGTATATACGCAATATAATAAACTCAATACGTAACTAGCATTAGCCACACGCTTACTATTTAATTAATTACGTTAATCATTGTATTTATAAAATTATAAATTAATAAAAATATCTGTATCCCTGAAACTAATGTGTTATGATAAGTAATTTTAATTAATTTTTATGTAAAACGTGTATATTATAGCGAGGGTTGACTGTATATGGTATGCATAGAGAAAGTAAAATTAAATATTTTTCAGAGAGAGAGAGAGAGAGAGAGAGAGAGACTCAAAAAGTCAGGTTTAGGTGCGTTTAAGATTATTATCAAAAAAAACTTTATTCACGTGCTTTTATTTAGCTAAATAAAATATACACTAATGGTATGTATAGGTACAGGTGCCGTCGGGCAGGGCATTTTCACTGTCAGTCAGTGTCACATAACTATGCGATTTGAATCCATAAATAGTGAGCGCTTATAATGTCATTAAATATTAATATAGTTATTTTTATTATTATTTCCCATATTAATTAACTAGGATGGAAGTTTCCAAGGGTATATTTTTCAGGTGAAAATATTTAACAAAAAAATTGGGACTTTTTATTTGTGTACATGCTTTATTATTTAATAATAAAATTTCCAATATTTTTGTGATACTAGTAATAGTCATAAATTTTTGAATAAATATTTATGTTTATTGAAAACTGCTAAATATTTAATGTATTATGACATTTGCCTAAAAATATATATAATTACAAGGTTATTTATTGAAACTATTTTATGTTTCATCAACACAATGTTATTGTCGCATATTTGCGTTAATTAGTTATTCAATAAATTATTTAATGTATTTTTATAAAGTAAAATATTATATATTACTTTATCATTATTGTTTGCAGTTTTATAAAATTATCAGCATGTCAACTTGAACTATAAAATTTGACTAGATAATTATCCCAACTGAGGGGGTACTCCATAAATAATACAAATAAATAATCACCCAATACTTAGGTTAACTCATAAATAAAAATACAGTTTTAACAAAAAAAATAAATTCAAAACGAGCATGTATGCAAAAAACATTTTTATTTCACTCAAAATATACACAAAAATTATTTTGACCCAGACAATTGACACCAAGATCCACTAAACCTCGGGAAATGAGTCAAACATATCCAGGAGAGGTATCATAAAACTTTTGGTACGCCTCTGAGACTTCAACTTTTTCGGCGGTCGTCCCAATGTCTCGCACTTATCGCTACCTATTAATAGACACGTATTTTTAGATTATTAGGTCCTTTACATCGCACAGGTATGCGAATGTCATTCACATATCACACACACATCGCGCGACATATATGGACGGCATAACCTTCCCGTGAGGTACAGGGGTTATGGAGGACAGACACCCTTACCTTCGGTGTAGTCGCTGCATATGAGGTCTATGGCGTTGCCTAACATTGATTTCACGAAATTCAATGCCGTCTCCACGTGCTGTTCAGTGCAAACCGGTATGCGTTTGGTTTTGGTTGAAATACACGGGAATATACGGTAATATTCACTGAGAAAAATGCAAATTTAGTTTAAATTTAGGTTTTGTGAAAAATAAATGTATATTTTAACTCTGCTTTAATCATATTATGATGATAGTAATAGTGCTAAACTGTACGGTACAATAATATTAAACCAGATTTAAACTATAATATGTAAAGTATTTAATGGTGTTAATAATAGAAATAGATTAGTAAATTAAAATAATTTAGTATAGGTATTTTATTTTGTTTAATTAGCGACCATTCCCTGTCTAAATATTAGTTTTTTAATTTTTAACTTTGTTGTTATTTGTAAAGTGTTACCAATTATTTTATCTGGTTTATTCAGTTTGTTTTCATAAAAGTTAGAATTAATTTTAATAAAATAAAATATTTTTTGTATAAAAACTTAATCTAATTTAAAACTGTAAATTAATCATTTAATTGATTATAATATAATTAAGAAAATGGTTTATTATTCAATTTCATAAAAGTTAGAATTAATTTTAATAAAATAAAATATTTTTTGTATAAAAACTTAATCTAATTTAAAACTGTAAATTAATCATTTAATTGATTATAATATAATTAAGAAATGGTTTATTATTCAAATTGGGACATGTCTCACTCATGCTTTATAAACCTAGTTGCAAAACTAATCTAATATAAAAATTTTATAAATTCTATCAAGGTAATATTACTTTTACTAACCAACACACGTGCGGTATCTTTTTATTATCAGGGGCATTTAGTGTACCCAACATGCCGTCTATGAGGTTCGTGTAGCACCGGTTGATTTCCGGTGTGGCCGTATTGATACATTTGGTGCTGGCTATGAGCTCATCCAGCTTTTTGGACTCTTTGCTACATAACTGGGCGATTGAGTTCTGAAATGTACAAAAGTTAGCGTGCTAAATATTTTTAAAAATTATTATAAAGCTCAAATAAGTTACCTTTAACGAGTAGATAAGTATGCTGGCTACTTGTTTGGTCAGCCCTTTAAAGCATTTATTTTTATACTTTTCGATATCTTTTATATAATTTAAGTTTTGTCTAAATATAAAATTAAAATAAAAATTATTATTAACTATAAGTCACCAGACTAAATTTATATTAAAATTCCCATTTATAATTAAATTATTTTAATAATGTACTTAGTTCCTAGTTATATTTATGATTATTAAAATAGAATTAATTTAAAACACTGAGAAAGTTTATCGTGATCATTTTGTTATTTTAAAACAATGTAGATAAAAAAATTTGACTGATCATAACCAATTAAATAATTTAAAATTTTTCAAAATATATTTCCTATAGAAATAACATTAATTACAGTTTGAACAAAAATATACATGGTGCTAATACTCACGAGCAATACTTTTTCAGGTCAACCCCCTTATTCTCGGGGAACTGTCGCCCAGAGTTACCAATCGTAATAATCCTGGCCACACTCAAATCAACCTTGCGCAAATTATTTGCGTCACATTTCTGACCCAGCACCACCCCAATAAATATACATGTCAAAAATAGTAATATTGTCAACCAAACCCTTTGCATAGTAACTAGATAAATTTTAATTGCTAATTTTTAAAAATGATACAGACACTGTCAAATTGTGTACAGTAAATGTTTTTTAATTAACTAGTCTAATTAACTTTTTATTTGCTTGTGTATGTTTTTGTTTGCTATATAAATAAGTGCAGAATATATACAAAAAAAACTTGATTTTTTTAGTGAATATAAAAAATTCAATGACATCCCGGTGCAGTTAATGTATTTCATTGACATACCAGTGCTCATCACTAATATAACGCACAGGTATGTGATTGAGGGGACAGTTGTCAAGACCTTAACATAACATTGAAAATGAAATTTTTGATGAATTCGTAGGAAAAAAGTTTTCAATAAATTAACGTTTGGTTCAAAAAACTAATTAAAAGTCTTTTTAAGAAAATATTTTTATTTATATTACAGTAAAAGTGGATTAAAAAGTTGTTTTCCCACTAAATGTGTTGTCAATTAGTATACGAGACTATTGAGGAAAGTATGTGTCGTTAATAACCTTCACTTGAGCCCTGACCTCCAGGTGCTCTCATATTAAAATAAATATATTATTAATAATTAATATTGACAATATTATTATTTTATTTACATTAATATAACATGCTCAAATATATTTAATATAATAATTGTCATTTATTATAATGCAGGCTACTTTTTTATACATAATAAAATTTATCTTGCTTAAATTTCTTTGAACGATTCCATTAATGCCAGCGCCGGTAATGCGAATGATCTTGTACGTTTCTGGGACTTTAATTTTTTAGGTGTTTTTTCTAGAAAATTAAAAAACAAATTTAAATATAAAAATACCATAGTCAAAATAAATAGACAATTGAAAATGACCTAGTTTACTGCACTTATCGGACTCCTCGGTATAGTCACCGCACAATAGGTTAATAGCGTCGCCGAACACCATTCTGGTGAACCAGATGCCGGTCTCGATGTGTTTGGGCTCACATTTGCCGGCTAACCCATCCTCACAGCATTTCAGGTATTTTAGGTAATCGCTGTAATTAAAGTAAACATGGTAGATTACAAACTTATAATAAATTAACAGTAAAAACTAAAAGATTTATTTTAGTAATACTGGTTGTTGATGACCCTATAATTAGTATTATAATTATTGTGTTATTATATTAAGCTAATAATTGTATGTGTATACAGTTTGTTATAAATTAGTTAACATGTAATTATACAATAATATATTTATTAAACTCACTTGCAACTATTATTACGTAATATACTTTAAAATATTTTTGATTACGTATAAAAAGTTATATTATTTTTTAAAACGTACCAGCACATGTGGGGTATGCGTTTATTTTCTGGTGCATTTTTAGCACCCAATAACTCATTAATAATAGTGTCGTAACATTTGCCAATCACATTGCTGTATTTATTCATACAGGGTGTGCACGCTATTATTTCATCCAGGCGCTTGGACTCCTTTTTAGAGCAAAAATTTCGGATCACTCCCTTAAACGAGTAGATGTATATGCCAAACACTTGCTTGCTCAGATTTTGGAAACAATTGTTTTTGTACTTTTCAATTTCCGATAGTGTTTTGATCTCTTGGCTATCGAAAAATATTTTAAATATATTATTAATAAATACAAACTGTATATTTATATTGAAAATTATATTTTCATTATTGTAGGTATTGTTTATATTTTATTGGAACGGCCGTCAATAATGTTTTTTAATGAGTATTATATAATTATCATGAT